GAAAGCTTGTATGTGTGTCCTCATTAGGACAGGGATGTGTGTTGGTGTGTGGAACTGTAGTTTATATTGTTAACTGGTAATTAGGTGACGGCGCACTTCCGGTAAGACATGTTCAAAGTAACGAGAAAGTAATGCTGAGTAGTGTAAGAAATTACTTTCTCTGGTGAGCAATTAACAAATAGTGCACAACCATCAGCAACAACACATTTAGATGGTTTGGTATTGTTTGTTACAGTATTCTGTGATTCTCACCGCATACTTCATAATAGTAGGGTTGAGACTAAATCACCAACAAAATTTGACCTGGTGTTACAAAGGCCCTACTTGAAAATCACAGAATCTAGAGGCACTAATTTACAGTTTCGATTAGCTTGTAAATAGTCTGTCTTTTTAGAACAGGAACAACTTCCTATGATTCTCATTGTTTTTCACATTTATCGAGTTTTTTTGATGCAAAGAACTTGGTTTCTTCACTAGCTAATGGAAATATTGGAACACTTTTAATGCAATCAGCACACCATGTTCACGGTGTATAGTGCACATACGCACACACGCACACACACACGCACAAATAAATAAATAAAAAAACACATCAGGCTTCAATGAATCAAAATGGATGCTGACTCGTGCACATGTTGCGATGATAAGAGCAGAGCACAAAGTGAGAAAATGAATCTTAACCTAGACCAGGCACACTCTTTTGTTGGATCTCTGCTTGAAGGCCACACATAATAAAAACATGACGCCATCACCAGTTCATCAGCAGTTCTCAATGTAAACGGGTTTTACGCTGATAAAACCCTACAGAGGGACATCAGGTTCCAACTGTGCCTTCTGGAGAGTGCAGATAGAAGAGAAGGAAAAGATGAAGTGGATACTGAGGTTTACAGAAAACCATTTACACAGATCACTACCTGCTGTCAGATTCACATCATCTGATGGAGCTCAAACTGGAAGTAATCTGGACGCACCTCCACTGGCAGTGACCGTATCAACAAAAATAACAGTTGCCTAAAACTCAAGTAACATCCAGCTTTGCAAGCCTGGAGTTACACTCACTGAGCTTTCATTAAAAAGCATAAAGCATCCAAAAGGAGCTGGAGAAAAATAAACAAGACAAAGCAGACTGTAGTGAGACACGAACATATTGTCTTTCAGTATGTGGCTTAGTGGATTTGGGCTTTTTCCCAAATGCAAAATTACTATGGTTGTTTTTCAGAATTGGCAATATGCCTGGTTAAACATTACCAAGGAGGGGACACCTGCACATTAGTGAGTCTGAACAGAACACCCACAAACAAATGCAATCCTAGCCAGACGTTTGCACTAATGAACACAATCCAGCACATTTACAGCTGCAAGGTCTCAAATAAAAGAGCAAACTGAAGCTGGTGGTCAGTCGTGCTGACCCATGGACCCTGCAGCTCCCCTACGCTAAACTTCTCCTACTGACTCAGATGCAGTTCATACAGGTTGTACATCAAAGTTCCCCAAATTTTATATCAGAAATGATTAAAAAAATGCTATTCTACATAGAAGTAAATTCAGGAACAAAGACTGGGAACATTTTGATGCTCAATTACAGTCGGGGGGAGAGAATTCTCAAATGATGAAACACATACCTGCTTTAAGACTGTAAGGCACAATGACTGGTTTTGTTATCTTTTTTTTTGTTAAGTACTGCTTATGTATTGGCTTTGTTGCTGATAATAGTTTAGAGAAAAACACAAACAGCTCTCTGTGACTGTCAACTTTGAATAACAGCACATAGTTTTAGTTAAAGAATTACTTTTGTGTACATTTCAAAGAACATTTTTGCTTTTGAAGTTGAATGACATGATTTGATATGATTTGAAAAATAATCTCTAGTCACCCTTTAAACCAACTTTTCTCTGATTGGCTGCCCCTGTCAAACAGAAGATTTGAACAGCAGGTGGGCGGGGCTTCTGTAGTTGGAGTTTGCTGTGTGCCTGAGAGGGTCACATTAAATATATCCCCACTTGGATGCCGGTTTAGCTCATTTGGTAGAGCAGGTGACCCATATTTTGATGATGCATCCTGTACCAGTTTTGCATTCAATGAAATCATTTTCCTTCTTTGAATTTCTTCCTCGGCTAGATAAATGTAGTCGTGGGCTGTGTGCGCTCAGGTGTTTGGAGCTGACCAATAGGAGCAGCTTTAGCAGGTAAATTTGCAGGATGTGTTGCTGATCTGAACTGTGGAGCAAAACCGGTTCGAGGGCTGAGGTAAGAATATCAGGCACACTGAGAAGAGCAGGTCTGTCTTAGATTCCTATTTTAAGCAACACAGCTTTGGCCATCTTTGTTGAAATTCACTACTGTGTGTTCTGCACTATTATTATTATTATTATGCACTTTATTAAACAATTTCAGTTTTATTATTATTTGCTTGAAAATGCAATAATGGAGAGGAAAGAGCAGAATCACAGCGACTCTGCAAGACGACCAAAGTCCAAAAGAAGGGAGTAATCTTATCTCAGCTGTTACCTTTTCCTGCTGCTGACACCCTTAATCTTATTTCCACCAAACATAAAAGCCAATAATCTGTCTCTAAAGCTGATCCACTATATGGCTGCATATTGCTTCACAGTGTGACTTCTACCTGCAGCAGTGTGTCACCACGTCTCTCTGTAATTTTAACATAATTGCATTCATTACCCAGTCTGCACACCTACGTCTTATTGTAAGCTCCAGCTTGACCCAAACTTCATTTGGAGCACAACTCCCTGGGCAATTGTAATTGATGTGCACTTGCTCTTCGTGTTCCTCGGCAAACACTTGTTAATAGAGCAGGACAGCTCAAGACCTCGCTGTAATCGCAAGTGTTTAGCGCTCATTCTTTGTGCTCACTTCATCACCATGCCTAATTACAATCAATAAACATGGTGAGCAAACATTAATCATCAGGGCTTTCGCTATTTCCTTTTACAGACCAAAGCCCAGAGGGTGAGGTGTCTTAACCTCATCTTTGCCACCGTCCCACAAACCTGCCTTTAGAGCCGCTCTCGAGCACAGTGCTGGATATTCCATAGATATAGCTAGGGTGCTGTCAGGAATAAAAACCCTTTGAAATTGCCATGAAGCTTTTGAAGCCCGTGTCCCACTGCTCAGCTCGCTGAGGGTTTTCATCTCTCCCCATCTCTCCTCATTTGCAGAGCTCTCAGGGCCTCACTGAGCAGCTGTAATGAACTCCACGGGAAAAAAAATGAAAAGAATCCATAGAGGGGAGGACTGTAACGGACAGCCAGTCAGTCATGCACTGTATATGCTGCAGGTTGCTTTATGCAAACAAGCTGCTTGTAATAATCTACAAATCTGTTTAAGAACAGCAGGGTTTGTTACTCATTTTCAAACATATTGTTCAATACTGAAGGGGAGATGCGCGCCCTATTTATCCTGCAAAGGAATGCACTACCCCACTAAGCTTCAGCTTCGCAGCTCTGGTCGTAATGGGTGTTGTTCATTTTTTATCTGAGCGGATTTGAGGAGGCCACCCATAAGCTAGCTCACAGCAGGCGATGGAAGCTTTCACCAGCAAACAGAAATGACTGACAAACACTGAAAAGCAGAATGGGGAATGGAAAGATCAGAAATGAGATGTTTTATCAGGCTGATAAAAACTGTATGGACTACCACCAGGACAGAAACAGCTGTAATGGAGACAGACTGTCAGAAAATGGGCTTACAAATTCTTGGGCTGATGAATAGTTAAAAAAAACAAAAGCAAAACCCTTCAATTTACCCAAAAGATGCAGACTTCCATTTGCGACAGGGGTAACTCCTTCTACATGGAGGGGCAAAAAGGTTTAGAGGGATCTCAGAGACTTCTACGGGCAATGAGGCGTGCCGCCTGCAACATAAAAAGAGAGAGGCATGTTGAAGTGGTTCATAATGCACATTTTGTGAAGTTCAAGACATTATAGCAGCACATTTTCACTCAGAACCAGACAGCAAGGGATGCATGGGCGATGACATGTTGCAGCATGAACTGTGGAGTACTGTACCCGCTCACTCCCACCAAGCTGAATGTTGTGCTTGGCAGAAAGAGAGATTACTTCAGTCCACTGCCTGCAGCATTTTAATGCCTTCGAATCAGAGCTGAGAACTCGCATATATGCACAGTGGGCTGAATCAGCACACAGAGCTCTGAGCCAGGTAGAGAGCAGAGAGAGGAAGAGGAGGAGGAGGAGGAGGGAGGCAGGAGCTGAGGCGTGATCGAAATGTACCAGGCTGAGAGTAACGTGAGACGATAGCAGAGGACAGGAAGGAAGAAGAAGACAAGAGGAAGCGGTTCAATTACTCTGTATTATCTACACTGTTAGCATCAATGACCTTCATAGCTCCAATCTGAAGTGTCAGTTACTGTCTATAGTAATTACCAATTTTGTCATATTTTAAGAAAATGATTTAAAGGTGCTGCACGTAATACAGAAACCTGAGGAGGAGCGTCGTATTTAAATTAGAATCACTTTCATATCCACTGTACAAAGTCATCGTCTGTGGCTATTTTCTCCAAGAACATCTTTGTACGTCTTGTATAAACCCGCTGTATCGCACACACACACACACTCACACACCAAGCTGCTCATTTTATAAATAAATGATGATTGTTTCAGTTCTTTCCAGGAGCCTGTACAGAGGAGGAAGTTCACCTTCAGGATTTCTAACGCGTGTAAATAGAAAAGATGAACAGGTCCACTGTGGCATCATGCATTGCTTAGTGAAATCCCATCGTTAAGCCACGAGCTGAGTGGCTTTTTTGGCTGTCAACATCTTCGAGTTTTCACACCACACATGACAAGCAAGGTTTGGATCAGACAGGGAAACTCTGACGGAAGATTTAAAACTAGCAACTGAGACCATAAAATCATCAAGAAAGTGTTTGCTTAGATTACTTATCTCTTCCTGAATGTAACCAGGCAGGTTTTGATTCCTAAACTAAACCAAAATGTGTCTGAAAAGCAAAATGAACAAAAAACAACAACTCACCAGCAAAATCTAAATATAATAAATCACGATAACCTCACATTTTACACAAGACATAAACTCCAGTCTTCTCTTTGGCCCATTTGTCCACTATGTTTTCCTCCCCATGTGGGTGTTAATGCTAACGTGTTTCTTTAAGTCATCATAACAAGCAAACTACCCAGTACCTGAACCGTTTGACCTGGTTTACAAAAAATGCAAAAATGTGGCAATACTTTGCTTAATTTATATTACATTACAATATATTTGTCATGCTCCCTGTGCCTCCCCGGCCAGCCCAGTGTGGCCACAAGTGTTTGTGTTTCTGTCTCTCTCCTACCTGTCTGCCTGGGCGGAGCTCTGATTGAGCACCCACCCTTGGCCCACGCACCTGCAGCTGATCTCGAGTGAATTGCAGTTGATCTCTGGCTCTTCATAAGGCTGGGGCTCTGAGCTATTCGTCGCTGGAATTTCGGTCGTGTCCAAATTCATGGGCTGCATCCTCCTGAGGCCGCATTTGTAGACCGATTACGTCACAACGACGCGCCGAAGGCTGTCCAAATTCGTAGACTCCTCCGAATGCAGCCGACAAATGCGTCCTCCTTTTCCCCGAATTTGAAGGATGGGTCGGGTGTGTCCTTCTTCCCCACCATATCCCAGAATTCATAGCGCGGCCCAGCCAAGCTCCAGTTTCTGGCAATGGCGGCCGCTACTAAGTTTTAAAATTACTCTTATTAATCTTTCTGGGCCACAAAATAAACTTTAAACATATTTTCAGGCGAGAATGTGGGTGTGTAAACTTCAAATATCTGCTCGGTTTGTCAAGATATGACATATTTGCAAAAGTGCTTCGACGTTTTCGGTAACGTCTGTCACCCCACCAGCTGAACACAAAAAAAGGAGAAAGATTTCGGGGTCCATTTTTAATTTTCGTGCCGTGGCGCTGACAACCAGAAATACTCTGAATTAAGGGCGGGAGTAGATCGAGAAGGCTAGACCGTCCAATTCCATAGCCGTTTACTTCCGGCCTACCCGACCTCCTGAGGACCCGGCCCACGTAGACCGCGAAGGCCGGGTCCTCAGGAGGATGCAGCCCATGAATTTGGACACGTGTATTGAGTGACCCTCGTCAGTATTGCCTGGCTTCATTGTGAATCAGTTGTTCCCGTGCTTGCCGCTGACTTACCCTCGTCTATGTTTATAGGTTTATCTGGACCTGCCCGTTTTGATTCCTGGACTCCTGGAGTGTGAGTGGGTTGCTCGTGGGAGGAGTGTTTGGACAAGGAGCGGAGCGAGTGCGAAGAAGTGTGTTTCCCCCCTATTGATCCCCGGGACCCTGGTGTTTCCCCCCCCTTCACGTGTACATAGCGCACCGGAGGGATTAATAAAGTGTTGTTGAACCGTGCTACCTCAGTCTGTGCCCGAGTCCGTCCACCACCGTGACAATATTAGCTGGGATGTATTTATGAAAGGACAGGCTAACCCATATGGAAAAGATATATATATATATATAAATCTTATATCTTATAAAGTTTGTATCTGTCTTGTGTGAAACTTGTATGAAAAGCATACAAGAGTGAAAACAGATATAAGATCCCTTGAAAAATTATATAAATGAAACTTCTATGTTTTGGATACTTACTAAAACAATATATGAAAGTAATGAGAAAGTGGCCACTTTCATGAGTAAATCATGTAAGTTTTTACTATTTCTTTTCCATATGGGAAATACTGCCAATCTCTAATAAGTCAAAAGTCTGATATTTCTCTGAGGCACATGTAACAACTCAGACTGAGATCATGTTCTTATAACTGAAATAGGATTTAGGAATTGGTGGGTTGAAATAAAAAGAATTCTGAAATCCACCAAGCAACGATGACATCATAGAGCGAGGACACTTGGGCGGCACGGTGTTGTGCGGATTAGCACAATCATCTTAACAACAGTGTTCTCTCTGTGCTCATTTCTTTTACATGCAGCTCTGGTGTGCACGTTAGATTAACTGGGGAATCTAAATTATTCGTAGGTGTGGATGCAAAACAGCTAAAGTGCTGTTTGATTATATAATGTGGCCTGAAGTATAGAGCACTCTGAATGACCAGTAACACTAGAAAACTGTTATTTACATGTCTTTCATTTCAAAGAGCATACACTTGCTCATAGAGCATGTTCTTCACAAAATGTTTTTGTGCAAATAACCTCGCAGGATCCCAGAGAGTCAAGTCAACGCTTTGCTAAACAACGAGGACAGAGGAGGCAAAGTGGGATCAGGAACCAGCCATCGGGGCGAATACTATACTGCCCATAAATAAACCAGCTATACATCTCCCCTCGGTGTCTAATTGCTGCACCTAGCTGAGAAACGGAAGCAGTAGACACTTGTCATTGAATCCCTTACAGTGAGGACTGATGCCAACTGGTCCACTAGATAATGTGCTGCTATCGGATGCTGAGGACGTGCTGGTCTGCTGACAGTACTGAGCCTGTTCACACTGTACGCTCACAAGTCCTGACCTCCAAACGTAGCAAATGTACTTTTAAGGGAGGTTTACCTCACAGAGGGATTTTAAAGACTTTCCCAAGTTCTGAGAATAAAATGCGCTATGTTCTTTTCTTTTTTTTAAAGTCCTTGCAAAGTCATTCTTTGGGAACTGATATTTTCCTCTCTCTCTACCCTGTGTGATACTCCCACATACATCAATCACACAGAAACAGAACATTTTCTGGTGTCAGAAGAGCTCCGTAAGCAGCAGTGCAAACGCAGAACTGATGCTTAAATGGAATCAAATGAGATTGGGCTTGATGAACTTGTAAACCTTTGAGCTTAATTGACTTCAAGAGGTATTTCTGTGAGGCTGATACATAAACAAGCATAAAAAATATGCTTTGATCAGCTTGATATAAGCACAAGACTGTATGTGAGGAATACCAATAGTGGTTTAACATGGAAAGGATGACGATTTTCAATAGGATTCCTAAATAAAGCTAAATAAATATTTGTCTTGATGCATGCTCAATCATCCAGGTAAGCAAATCTCCCAAAGTTGATTCTGTTCATCTGGACGTAGTGTTGCATCATCATCCAAGTGACTTCTTCAGTCTCAGCTGACTGCAGGTCCCCCCAACCTTATAAACAGTACATTTGCACAATGACTGAGACTAGCACCACTGAATGAACAATGGGCTGGGAGGTCAGTTCCTTGATCATTAATATGATCATGAACAGATATTCCACTGTGGTAGATTCCTACACAAACTTGGAAAACAGTCAGCTTC